TGTAAAAAACTCGTCGAGATCAAAGCGGGCTTCCAGGAAGGGGTCTGGGCCTCTGGGGGTCCATAATTGAAAAATCATCACGTCGGAGGCCTGGGGAGGAGCGAGCGAGCGAGCCGTCACATTGCACAGCAGTGCGACATCTCCAGAAGCATGCACCAAGCTGCACGCGCGCACGCCCTGATGGTGGCTGGGGTGGGCAGTACCTCCTCTTGCAAAGCCGCCGGCAGTCGGCAATTTCTCGGGCCATGCTTGGAGCCTGGGCGAATGTTGCAGGGGATATGCGCCCGTGATCGTCTGTCACACACGCCTGGCAGCACGTGCCATGCTGCCTGGCGTGGGGGCGGTGCGCATGCATCTAGCACGCGGCACGCCTCGCATGGGCAACATGGACAGCGGATGCCGGGCGGCGCATCGGCGCCCGCAGTCGCGAGGTCACAGACACAAGAAGAATGATGACACGAAGGAAGAGGAGGCACAGCGTTCCCAACGTGTCTATCCTGAAGGCAGCACGCGGGCATCAGAGAACCCCGCCACAGGAGAAGACGGAGGACCTCCTCCTCCTCCTGTTCCTGGCCCTCTGCCTTCCTTCGCTTCCTCCTCCTCGCTCCTATTCCATCCTCCTCCTCCTCATCCTCGCTCCCCGCCACGGACTGATCCGCCAAGGAATCCTGGTCTGGACGGGCTCCAGGGGAGCGCGGGGGAGTTTAAAGCAGGGGGGAGCCAAGCTAGGCGCGCTCGCGCCATATCTGACATCCTGCGCCTCCCACCCATTTCGCTTCCCATTGCGCTGACTTTCCTCTCTCTGCCAGTGGGTGTAATAGCGGCCCTAGATTACCCCAGATGATCCCATCACGTTGTGCGCATGCATGTATATAAGCATATAAGAGGAATATGTTTACATTGGAGGAGGTGGTTGAGGAGATGGCGGATTAAAAGGGGAAATATAAGCAACAGGATGTGACGCCTAGACGTCGGGACAAGGAGACGCGGGGCGGCGCCAAGCCGAAGAGAAGGACGGAGGAGGGCGCAACTGCTGCTTCGCGGGGCGGCGTCAGGAAAACAGGAAAGAGAACAGGGAGAACAAGGATGAGGAACATGCTGAGGGGGGAAGGGACCTCAACGGATGAGGCTGAAGAGAACCATGGGACTGAGGAGGGAGGAAAATGGGATAAGCAGTAGGGAAGGAAGGGAAGGGAAAAGGGAGCGAGAGGAAGGGAAGGGAGTGAGTGGACCAAGGGACGACCGACGACGGCCAGACGACAGATCCAGGTCCAGACTGCAGCGCCGCATGCACAGCGGAGGAAACGGCGGCAGCGGGGCGGCCGCCTGCGATGGCTGCGGACCGCAGCAGGGAGGCAAGCGGCGGGCTTCCACGCCGAACTGCCCAGCGCAACCAAGCCCGCGCCAAGGCGCGCAGGTCCGAGATGGAGCGGCAAGATCGTGAGCGAGAGAGACAAATAGCAGAGCAGGAAGGGGCAGGGCCCGAGAAAAAATACCAAACAGCTCGGCGGAGCATTCGTGAAACGCACCGGGCAGGTGGGAAAGGGCATCCAGGATCCCTTTCGAAGACCGGGCAATTAATCTAGTGCAGCACATCGTGCCCTCCCACGGCGAATTTGCACCAGACAAAGGGGGGCTTGAAACCCTCTGGAAGTGTACCAATGCACCAGCGATTGCACAACGTAAGGAGCGAACAGAAAAACATCCAAGCTGGAGCGTACTGACCAAGCCTACGCGGGACCGTCGTGCAAGCATCGGTGTGGGGCTCCGTGGGTGGGTCGGTGGGGGACACGTGCAAAGTATCGGGATCTTGCGGCGACTGTACTTCGAGCGTGTGCTGGTCATCCACGGCTTGGAGACGACGATCAATATTATTCTGCAGGTGGGTGGGAGGAGGGCAACAGAAGAAACCGCATCACATGGTCGTACATATGAATAAAGCCGGTGGCGGAAGAGGATTGAACCTGCAGGCGCATTTCTACAGGATTACGCATTCGCCTCTGTCTGTTACCTCCTCGGCCATGCGGCGGACCTGGGCGAGCAAGGGCGAGTGGCGAGCAGCAGCGCGGAACATGGCGTCATAGCACATGCATTCCAAGTCTCTGATCTTGGTCTTACTTCCGAGGCTGGCCAAGTCATTGAGGAGAGCAGTGAGACGGCGTTCCTTGGCGCATTGCGCGAGCAGCAACCCTGTGATGCTGAGCCTGACGATGCTTCTTGTGAATCCCAAGACTAAGCTCTTGCTGCCTCTGGTCCTCCCCTCAATCTGCCCCGTCGGTCCCTGTCGGCTGAGATCGTCTCCCCCCCCCCGGTAGCGGCGCCACAGCACCGAGCGGCCGTGGCAAGCGCAAAGTTCGATGTCAGAACGCCATGTCCCCAAAGTCTGGCCTTCAGCTCGCCCCAGGTCGGCTCGGCAAAGAACGGGGCCGCGATCTTTTCAACGTGGAAACAGAGCTCTGTAGCACCGTTAGTAACGACCCGTACTTCTCGCGCGCACGCGGACGCAAAGAAGACGTTGCAGGACACCAATCGCACATCGTCAGCGGAAGCGAAAATAATTCCTGGAGCCGAGTGGATTGTGGCGCACAGTGGCGATGCTGGCGATGGAGCCCGAGAGAGGACACCTCTGCTCGATGCCCCTGTCTTGCCAGGATAAGTGTCCCAGCTGGCCGTCGAATATGATGTCGCTCCTAACGCTCGCGCGTCGCGTCTTGACAACGACCTCACTTTGGGGCGAAACATTCATCTCGCGCAAGATCCACTCGATCATGCTGCGCAAAAGGCTCGGGGAGGCGGCGTACGCGTCGACGACGCGACAGCCAGTGTTCGCGCGCAGTCCGCTCATCTGGCTCATGGGGGCAGCGATGGCGGTGCCGACAGCCATGTTCGCACGTTCGGCCTGGCGCAGTCGGCAGCGGGAAACATGCCAGTGCTGGGGGCATCTGATGCTTGCTCCAATTTGGCAAACAATACTGCCGCGCCGCGGTGGACACAAGCCAAGACACGCTTCCGCGGAGAAGAGAAAGGCAAGCCTCGCAGAGAACCCCCTGACGCGGGCCCCCCCCCAGCAGGCGTGCGGCAGCCCATCTGGGCCGGGGGGCTGTCGCGCAGGTTGTTCACTATATTCTGAGACTCGGGGAGGTGTAGAATCTATATGATAATTGGAGAGCACTGCTGAACGCAGAAACTAAAATGTCCCCGAAAGTTGCAGGCACCCGGAACATGATCATGAACCTCCCTCCACTGTCTGGCTATCCCCGCACCAGATGCCGCTGGTATCGTGCAACTTCAACCCAACAGGGTCGACCATTCCAGCCGGAAAGAATTTCCTGCGGACCTTCCCCCGGGCGGAGGTGTAGGCCCACAAGCGGGCCTGCGCAGTGGCTATCTTCGCGGGGGGGGAATGGCGGGCCCTCAACCTTCGCGTCGCCTGCCTGAATCTTCTGGAGAGAAAGTAAGCGAAGGTGCTAGTAGAAACGGTTTTCCTGCCCCCACCCGAGCCCATCGACGAGCGCGCGCTGCGCCCCTGGAGGGCAGCAGCGAACAGCTCGGCGTGCTAGATCAGCATGTCCGCGAGATACGGCGCGCGTTGAACGCAGAGCCCCCGAGATCCTCTCGCCGGCGCTCCGCGCTGGGCGAAGGGCAAGGCGCTGCCGAAAACGCAGAGCTGCCCCCCGGAATGCGTCTTTGGCCCCCCGCAGAGCGCCTTCATGGTCCTGCGGGGGGGGGGGGGGGGCGCTTCGCCTCTCCCGCGAACCACCGGCAACGGGCTACTCACGAGGGCGCCTTTGGAGCCGTGGTGAGCCCGGGCGGAGCCAATGCTAAGGACGCAGGAAGATTGTCAGAGGGGTTGCCGGGCTTGCTGGGGGGGGGCCGTGGACGAGGCCGTCGGGGTTGACGTCCAGGGGCAGGACAGGGAAGTGGTAAGGGTAGATCCTGTCGGTCCTGCCCAGGCTGACGCCGTTCTGAGCCATCACGGAAGCAGCGTGACCTCTGGCTGGTCGACATCCAACAACCAGGGGAAAAGCTTCCACGATTCGTTGGCCATCGCATTCTGAGGGGCCACCGCGCGCCCATCACTGACCCCTCGATTTCCGCCGAGGCCTGGGACATTCACGGGATGCGATCGAGATATCTGGACTGGTCACGTCGACGAAGTTTGGGGTTAACATGGAGGTTGATGGTTTGCAGGCCCCTCTCGGGCCCCGAGAGGGGGACGTTGCGGGGCCCTCTCCGGGTATGCACCTTGTGCGTGTCATTGGAGAAAAAGCTCCAGGATAAGAGGTGGATGGAAAACGCGCAACTGCCGATCTCTTATATAGGCGATGCACATCTGGAGAAAGCAATCGCATGTCTTCTTGATCCCCGGGGTCTTCTGGACACCAACGACGCATGTTCGGCAATTCGTTTGGGCAAGGTTCTGCGTTCGGAACGCGTTGTCTCGATGGGTGCGCTGGTGGATCCAAATGACCCTCTAGCATTCCAGGCGACCGCTACGCGCTTCAACCAAATCTGAAATGGTCGCGGAATGGTGCAAACGCTGCTGGCACTGGAGCTGCAACATGATGGGCTGCAGCGCCCAGGGAGCTGGGAGGTCCGGGGTACTCCGCTACCCCGCCGTGCCTCTCAGAAGCCCACCAAAGTGGAGACAGCTGCGCAATTCGCAGCCTCCCAGGGAGCAGCGCCTCCCAGTGAATGAAGCAGAGGCTCGAATCTGCCAGGCGCCTGCACTACATTGCAGATTGGCCTTCGGTTGTATCAAAGCGCAAGAAGAATTTACTGAGTCGTCTGATGTCCCACCATGCTCCGTCGCTGCCTAAACTAGCGCACGAATGGTCCCCTACTGCATGTGCGGCGCTGAACAACAGCCGGCCGCATCGTGCCAGAGGCCGGCCGCGGCGTCGTTGGTTTGACGACGTGCAGCTCTGACGGCGCATTTTTGTTCTTACTCCCGAGCTCTGCACAGGGCCGACTTGTTCGATCGGGCGCAACGCAACGCAGGGAGCAGCGCAGGCGGAGGCAGGAGGAGGTGGGAGGAGGAGAATGACTTTGTTAACACTCGAGCGGCCTACGCCTCGAAGATCGCGAAATGCTTGTGGGAATCCATTTCGAGCAATAAGTCGAGCTTTTCGTGTTGTGCCCCACGTTCAGCACGAACAGGACGCACGCCTCGTCGCCCCACGCAAGGAACAGCGCGCCTTTGTGCGGATTGAGTCCGATATTCGTACGCGAGTTGTCCAGAAGGCCTGCCCTCCTCATGTGTTCTACGGGCTGCTGCCACATCATGCTGAGGTACCTGTTCGTTTCGCGGGTGTTGTTTTCGCTAGCGTCCGCCGGAGCCCTCTGCGTGTGCCTGCAGCCGTTCCTGTCTGGCCATGCAAGACCCTCTGCCCGCACTCGTTCGAGAAACGCGCGGACATGCAAACGGCTACCGATCTTGATGGAGTGAGGTTGTAGCACTTTCCCTCCGCGCTGGCTGCCATGTCCTGGGGCATCGCGGAGATCGCGGCAAGCGCGGCATGAACGCGGGTGTGCACGACCGATGCCAGCAATTGGTGCGGGAAGCCTCCGATCCACACCTTGGGTCCTGCCTCTTCGAAACGGGGCCACCTCGTCCACTACTGGACGCAGCGCTGGTCGGGCTCCAAGAAGAACTGGGTGCCCGGGTAGGTGCCTGGACCGCCATCAGTTGCATATGCTTGTCCAGCTTGGCCTCTGGCCTGGAGTCCATTTCTATCACGCAGCTTCTCCTGCTCCATGGGAATGATGGCCTGCTGGGTTTCCTTGTCCTGGGAATCGAGCGTGTGGCTGAGTTCCTGGATGTTCTTCTCATGCTCGCCGAAGGATGTGCGAAAGACCTCACGGACGTCAGTTGTTTGCTTCTGCTGGTTCTCCTCCATCGTGCGCAGGACGTTCAACAGGTCGGAAGTGGACGGGACGGCAAGTTCGCCCTTGGGCTGAACTGGAGGCTATTGGCTTGCATCTCTAGCTGCCAAGTCGAACTGCTGAGGGGACGGAGGCTGACCAGGCAGACCAACAAGAGCGCCAACAAGAACACCGTCAGTAGCGCCGTCCGCATGAACGCCGCTGATGCCCCCGTCCTCCAGGATGCCGTAGCCGCCATGCATCATGTGAAACGGGGAGAATCGATCGACAGCTTCACTTCATCGTCGCCATCGGCTTCGGGAAGAGCTTGAGGCTTGGCTGCGGGTCCTTTAGCGCCAGATCCAGCGCCTCGATTCTTCCGACCGCTGGCGTTCACCCGCGGGTCTTTGTGCTCGAGCGGGTCCTTCGTACTGCCACCTTTCTTGTCCTTGCCGACGTGAGGTTGGATAACCAGCTCGTCTTGGCGAGCGTCGAAGGGAGACTGAGCAGGCCGAGCAATTCCGTTGCCTACACCTTTGGCCGTTCCTTCATCACTCTTGGGGGCTGAATCTCCTGGGCTCATCGCGTGAGATACTGGAGTGATTCTGGGAATAGTGTGAACTGCGCTCGCAGCCGCTGGGCAGATCGCTGTGAGGGTCTAGGGAAAAAAAAGGTTGTCGAGTCTAGCCTCGGAACAGAGGTACCCACTTGGTCCCCAGGGAACCAGTGGTCTTGACCCACAACGGCTACGGAGGGGGAGGAGGGGAAGCCGGGGCAGGGGCAGGAGCGGGGAGATGGGGAGAGCAGCCCAGAGGAGCATGAGGACCCAAGAGCGGGAGAAGGACGAGGCAGCACGAGAATCGGGGGCAGGAGGTGGAGCAGGAGGAGGGGGCGGAGAAGGAGGAGGAAGAGGAGGAGGACGACGAGGAAGAGGAGGAGGGTTGGGACGGCAGCGGGGAGACGGGGAGGTGCAGGAGGAGAGGTAGACGGAGCCGCATCAGGAGCCGGACGGGAGGAGGAGGAGGAGGAGGAGCTGTCTCCGCCGGCCATCGCTCTATCCGAGCGTGAAAGGCAGCGAGGAAGGTCCACCTCAGGCAGCCGTGCGCGTTCAAAGGGAATCGGCGCAGGGCCTGCGGCAGCGGCCGCAGGCGCCGCCAGCGAAGGACACACATACGCAGAGGCGAAGCAAGCGGTCCCTTCAAGGCACGGCGAGCGCAGGGCGGTTTCGACGTCCAGCTCGGCCATCGGCATGCACAAAAAAGACAAAGCGAACGGGAGGGCCCCAGCGAGCCAAGGAAATTGCGAACTTGAAACGTTAGGCGGGAGTAGCTGGATGTGGCGATGTCGGCCGCCTACCAACGCTCAACTCACGGAGACCGACCCTGATGGAGGTCCCTCGGCAACCTGGAAGCGTCCACCGTGACTGCCACCTTCCTGATGTCCTCGAGGACGTGCGTGAGGTCAACCGCGAGCGCCTGTTTCATCTTCTTGACCTCGCCGAGGGTCTTAGCCGCGAGGTCGGCGCCAGCCTTGGAGTGCTCAACGCCCTCGAGGACCTGTGAGAGGTCGAGGTCCTTCACCTTGGATCATTGATGCCGATGCTGGTGTTGATGATGATAAAGCTGATGTTGGTGAGATTGACGATCATGTTGTTGTTGATGATGCTGATAGTGTTGATGATGTTGGCAACATGGGCAATGATAATGATGATGAGGTCCCTCACCTTGGATTGTACCTGCTGCAGCCCGTCGGCCTGGACGCGCATCGCTGCCAGGATGGGAGAGAGGTCGACGGTGGTGGCAATGGGGCTTCTTCGCGAAGATTCCTTCGAGTCTGCCAGCGGCTCCGGGACCTCAGACAGGTCGGCTGCAGCCTCGGGAATCATTCGCTCGTCCGAGAGGCCCGAAGGCTTCTCGGTCAGCCTCTTATGGATCTCCCGTAAAACACCTGCCTGGGCCTGCATCGTCTCCAATACAGGCGACAAGTCCAAGGTGGGTTGGTTCTCTCGGACCTGCTTCAGCAAGCGAACCTCTTCGAGAACCTGGGACATGTCCACGGACGACTGGCTATCTCGAAGTTGCTTTACAATCTCAGATAGATCTGCCACAGCCTCGCGCGTCGTTGGCTCGTGTGAGGCGCCCGCAGGTTTCTCGCTCAGCCTCTGGTAGACCTGCTGAAGAACACTTGCTTGGGCCTGCATCGCTTCCAGCACGGGCGACAAGTCCGAGCTGGGTTGGCTTTCCCGCAGCTGCTTCAGCGAGCGCACCTCTTCCAGGACGGGGGACAGGTCCACGGCCGACTTGCCTTCTCGAAGCTGGTTCACAAGCTCCGATACGCCCTGCTTCACAATCTTCACAGCCTCGCGAAACTCGGGCTCGACCGAGGCGCCCGCAGGTTTCTCGCTCAGCCTCTGGCGGACCTCCTGAAGAACACCTGCCTGGGCCTGCACCGCTTCCAGCACGGGCGACAAGTCCAAACTGGATTGGCCTTCTCGCAGCTGCTTCAGCGAGCGCACCTCTTCCAGAACGGGTGTCAGGTCCACGGCCGACTGGCCTTCCCGCAGTTGGTTCACAATCTCAGACAAACCCTGCTTCACCAGCTTCACAGCCTCGCGAAACTCGGGCTCGACCGAGGCGCCCGCCTGTCTCTCGCTCAACCACCGGTGGACCTCATGCAACACACCTGCCTGAGACTGCACCGCCTCCATCACGGGTGACACTTCCAAGCAGGGTTGGCCCTCTCGCGACTGCTTCAGAGAACGCACCTCTTCCAGCGCCGAGGACAAGTCCACTGCCCATTTGTCCTCCCGCAGCTGCATCAGCGAGCGCACCTCTTCCAGGACGGGGGACAGGTCCACGGCCGACTTGCCTTCTCGAAGCTGGTTCACAAGCTCCGATACGCCCTGCTTCACAATCTTCACAGCCTCGCGAAACTCGGGCTCGACCGAGGCGCCCGCAGATTTCTCGCTCAGCCTCTGGTGGACCTGCTGAAGAGAACCTGCTAGGGCCTGCACCGCTTCCAGCACGGGCGACAAGTCCAAACTGGATTGGCCTTCTCGCAGCTGCTTCAGCGAGCGCACCTCTTCCAGAACAGGTGTCAGGTCCACGGCCGACTGGCCTTCCCGCAGTTGGTTCACAATCTCAGACAAACCCTGCTTCACCAGCTTCACAGCCTCGCGAAACTCGGGCTCGACCGAGGCGCCCGCCTGTCTCTCGCTCAACCACCGGTGGACCTCATGCAACACACCTGCCTGAGACTGCACCGCCTCCATCACGGGTGTCACGTCCAAGCAGGGTTGGCCCTCTCGCGACTGCTTCAGAGAACGCACCTCTTCCAGCGCCGAGGACAAGTCCACTGCCCATGTGTCCTCCCGCAGCTGCATCAGCGAGCGCACCTCTTCCAGGACGGGGGACAGGTCCACGGCCGACTTGCCTTCTCGAAGCTGGTTCACAAGCTCCGATACGCCCTGCTTCACAATCTTCACAGCCTCGCGAAACTCGGGCTCGACCGAGGCGCCCGCAGGTTTCTCGCTCAGCCTCTGGTGGACCTGCTGAAGAGAACCTGCTAGGGCCTGCACCGCTTCCAGCACGGGCGACAAGTCCAAACTGGATTGGCCTTCTCGCAGCTGCTTCAGCGAGCGCACCTCTTCCAGAACGGGTGTCAGGTCCACGGCCGACTGGCCTTCCCGCAGTTGGTTCACAATCTCAGACAAACCCTGCTTCACCAGCTTCACAGCCTCGCGAAACTCGGGCTCGACCGAGGCGCCCGCCTGTCTCTCGCTCAACCACCGGTGGACCTCATGCAACACACCTGCCTGAGACTGCACCGCCTCCATCACGGGTGACACGTCCAAGCAGGGTTGGCCCTCTCGCGACTGCTTCAGAGAACGCACCTCTTCCAGCGCCGAGGACAAGTCCACTGCCCATTTGTCCTCCCGCAGCTGCATCAGCGAGCGCACCTCTTCCAGGACGGGGGACAGGTCCACGGCCGACTTGCCTTCTCGAAGCTGGTTTACGAGCTCCGATACGCCCTGCTTCACAATCTTCACAGCCTCGCGAAACTCGGGCTCGACCGAGGCGCCCGCAGGTTTCTCGCTCAGCCTCTGGCGGACCTCCTGAAGAACACCTGCCTGGGCCTGCATCGTCTCCAGTACAGGCGACAAGTCCAAGGTGGGTTGGTTCTCTCGGACCTGCTTCAGCAAGCGAACCTCTTCGAGAACCTGGGACATGTCCACGGACGACTGGCTATCTCGAAGTTGCTTTACAATCTCAGATAGATCTGCCACAGCCTCGCGCGTCGTTGGCTCGTGTGAGGCGCCCGCAGGTTTCTCGCTCAGCCTCTGGTGGACCTGCTGGAGAACACCTGCTTGGGCCTGCACCGCCTCCAGCACGGGCGACAAGTCCAAACTAGATTGACCTTCGCGCAGCTGCTTCAGAGAGCGCACCTCTTCTAGGACCGGTGAAAGGTCCAAGGCCGACTGGCCCTCTACAAGCTTCTTGAGCGAGCCCACACCCTCCATTACGAGGGACAAATCCACAATCGACCTGCCTTCACGAAGCTGCTGCGCAACATCAGATCCGCCACCGCGCATGCAGCGGTACGTGCGGCATGACTGAAGCCCAACGCATACCCTCAGAACAAGCAACGGTTGTGATCCTCGGGGCGGGGCCCGCCCAGCAGTCCAACACCAAGGGGCCTCGATTGTACCAGCAAGCCTCGGCGGTTTTGATGCTCTCCCCCACAGATCCGATGCCTTGATTTATTCGACATGGAAGCCCAAGAAATCTGGACCCCTTCCACAAGGCCGGCTTTTCCTGAATCGCTTCCGCCCTACTTCTTCGCACCATCGCTTGGGGCGCATTTCTGGCACGATTTCACTTGGAAGAAAGAGCCAAAGTACGTCGCACCCCAAAATGGGGGGAGACGCGAGCTGCCGAAGGCCCGCATCCTGCGCCTTCCCTGGGCGGGCGGCGACACCGCCTGGCCCCCCGAACCGAAGCCCCTGAGACGCCCTCGAGCAGTCACAGGGGGGCCCCTGGCCAGGCCTGGAAAACACTACAGCAAAGCGCCAATACCCCACAGACCACCCTTCGGGTGATAAGGAGGGCTTGGAGGGGGGAGTGACGTCATGCTTGGACTGCATCCGACGCGCACTTCAACTGACGAATCAATGCCCATCTGGACATTGGTGTTAAGTTCCATCTACGTGTATATGTGTGCATGGTTGCTCCTCTGAAACATCATCATTAAATATACATGTATATGTACAGGGTTGTGTGTGCATACATGCTGGTGTGCGTGCACACACACATATATATGTATAAAGGTACATATGTACGTACGTGCGTACACATGTATGTGTGAATGCATGCATACGTAGGCGCGTGTAGATCTGCATGGTTGTATGTGTGTATGTATGCATGTATGAGTATGTGTGTATGCATGCATGTTTGTATATAGGTGTGTATGTATGGACAGATGTATGCATGCGTGTATGTATGTGCACACGGGTGTCTGTATGTAAGTAAGTATGGTTACGCGTGTATGTGCACTTGTATGTATGTATGTATGTCTGTCTGTCTGTATGTATGTATGTATGTATGTATGAATGTATGCGTGTGTATGTACGTGCGTATGCGTGCATGCGTGTATGTGCGTATGTACGTAGTTGTGTGTATGTGAGTATGTGTGTTTGTATGCACGCATGCACACATGCATGTATGTACATGTGTGTATGTGTCTGTGCATGTGAATATGTTTGTATGTACACATGTATATGTATGTGCATGCATGTATGTATGTTTGAATGCGTGGTTGTATATTTGGATAAAGGGTGTGTATGCACGTGTGATGGTATGTATGTGTGTATGTGGGCACACAGGTATGCATTAATGTGTGTATGTGCGGGCATCACGTTTCCCCTTTATCGATCGTCATCGCCCGATGCATCTGCATATCCATATGGATTTACATATTCAGGTACAACTTCGGGATACGGTTCAACCTACGAACTACTCCAGGTATATGTTTGTCTGTCTGTCCGTCCACCAGTATACCTGTGTATATCTATGTACATGCTGGAAACACGCGCGCTTTGCACGCGCTTAGGTTGTAGCCCACGCAAACCCAACGTCATATCAATCAGCGGATGGGCACGCAGACCATCCCACCATGGTCCACGACCACCACATGAGCGACGATCAAAAACGGGTTTGACGCGAGATGACATACTTACGCAGGACGAAAGATTTCCCTCTTGAGGTGAGGATGGTGATGAGAAATTCACGAGATAACATCGGCGCCGCCGAACGGAAGGCGTCTGGACGAGCTGCGTGCAGCAACCGGGACGAGAGAGACGTATTCATGTTGAGTGGGACCCGCGCTCGTGAAAAGCTGATGGGACTGCGCGGGATAGCGCAGGGCCCATCTTGGAAATTGATGACCGAACCCCCTTCCCCCGTAGAATCTTAACACGGGCGGGTTCCGGGGTCCGCGGATCCGATTTCTTTCAGCTCCCCGTTTTACTTGAATCATATACATTTCACACGGGATAAAAATCGGATCCGCGGGTAAAAATATGACTGGGCGCGGATCCAGACAATCCGAAATCGGATCCGCGCGGACGGAAATTGGATCCACCGAAACAGAAATCAAAACCAACATGATCCGCACGAACTCCGTTGGATCCCGCGGAGGTTATCTCACACGCGCCTGCTCAAGACTTCAAACCGTCGTTCCGGGCCCAAGAGGAAAAAACTTTCGACCCGGGGATGGACGTTTCGACCTTCGGACTAGATGGCTACCACGTAGCCGACACACCACATCATACCAGAATTCCCCCGCCACGTGCAGTCAAGAGTTTCCGGTCGAGACGTCCTCGCAAACCACAAGAAAAACAGAAAACGTCGTACGTCCACAGCGTAGCAAGAGCCCTTCCTGCCCGCGCTATTTTATGCGGGAGAGGGCGGAAAAAGAGGACGACGAGGAGGCAGTCCGTTGAGCCAGGAGACGCAAGTCGAAACGCACTGGCGTTTTGGCTTTCGGACTTGTTGGTGACCACGTAGCCGACACACCACATCAAACCAGCATTCCCTTGCCACGTGCAGTCAGGAGTTCCCATTCGAGACGTCCTTGCATACCACCAGAAACAAACAAAAAGACGTCGCGCCTTTTACTGGAGGTCCCGTTCGGGACGTCCACAACATATCAGGATCCCTTGCTGCCCGCGCTCTTTTATGCGTGGCAAGGCGGAAGAAGAGGACGACGAGAAGGCAGTCCGGTGAGTCAGGAGACGCAAGGTCGAGACGCACTTATGCAGGACGAAAGATTTCCCTCTTGCGGTGAAATTGGCGATGAGGAATTCACGAGATAGCATCGGCGCCGCCGAACGGACGGCTTCTGGACGAGCTGCGTGAGCAACCGGGACGAGAGAGACGTATCCATGTTGAGTGGGACCCGCGCTCGTGGAAAGCTGATGGGACTGCACGAGACAGCGCAAGGCCCATCTTGGGAAATTGATGACCGAACCCCCTTCCCCCGTAGAATCTTAACACGGGCGGGTTCTGGGGTCCGCGGATCCGATTTCTTTCACCTCCCCGTTTTACTTGAATCATATACATTCATGTAAAACGGGATAAAAATCGGATCCGCCGGTAACCATAGACTGGGCGCGGATCCAGAAAATCCGAAATCGGATCCGCGCGGACGGAAATTGGATTCACCGAAACAGAAACCAAAACCAATATTGGATTCGCGCGAACTCCGTTGGATCCCACGGCGGTTATCTCATACGCCTCTGCTCAAGACTTCAAACCGTCGCTCTGGGCCCAAGAGGAAAAAACCTTCGTCCTGGGAGTGTAGCGACCTTACGCGGTGGCTTACGCGGGCCGCCTGGGCGAATATCGGCGCAGACGACCCCGTATTGTTGCATCGCTCGCATAGGAACACCTGCGCAACAGCGGGCATGCATATCTCAATGGCGTCTCCCTCCTACTTCGTCGCATCCTTCACACGGATCCACTCGCGGCCCACAGGGGGCTTCACCTACAGGCGCAGAGGCAAAATTCGCATAGCGGCTCACACCCCACGCGGATCGTGTCGCGCAGGTAATCACGCTGACGGCGCCAAGGAGAGCATCTTCGCATAGCGTCACCCTGCTCACTTCTGCACACCTTTACGACCCCAGCGACAAGGTTCGCATCCCGCCGCCCCGCCTATTTCGGCATACCCCTCACGCGGATAGTGCCCCACGAGGAGCCCCACCCGCAACCCCAGAGACGAGGTTCGCACATCGTCGCCTCGCCCACTTCTGCACACCCCTGAAGCCCCAGAACGAGCTCATGGGCAATTTCACATGGCGCCCACTGGCCCATTTCGGCACAGGCCTCACATGGGTCGTGCTCCATACGGAGCTCCACCTGCGGCCCCAGTGGGAATGTTCACGCGGGGCACTCGGATTATTTGGCACCCCCTTCACACAGATCGTGCCCCCCACAAGGAGTGCAGCGCGACTGTGCACGCTTGCGCCGCAGCAGCCGTCTATCCGCACTGTCCTACGGCGCGCAATATGTGAAGAGAAGGCCGCGCCCTGTGATACGCGTGACTGCTTAGGGTTGGGCTCTTCGATGGGCTAAATTGTTTACTTATCTACTGGGCTTCGGCCCACCACGACACCGTTCCTGGGTTGAGGGTCAAAGGCTTCTTCGATACCAGTTGGGGTCTCTTGACATGATTCTTCGGCGATGAGTGGAACCAGTTTAGAAGCCTCTGGGGGTCTCTTGGGGACCTCCTCTTGTGGTCTCTCTTGGGGCATTGTTAGACAAAAGATCCTGGGGTTCTGCTGGCGGTCTCGGGGTTCCGCTTATGGCGACGGCCTAAAATCTCAGTTGACGCCCCCCCTTGGGCCCCCCTCTTGGGCCGCCGTGGGCGCCTCTTGGACCGTCTCGGGGCTCTCATGGGTTTTCGTGGACCATCTTGAAGCTCTCTTGGAGGCATCATGGGCCGTCTTGAAGCCTTCTTGAGGGCATCGTAGCTCGTCTTGGCCGACCTTGGGCCGTCTTGGACGATGTGAAAAAGCCCCAAAACGAACATGCTATAAAAGTAACATGTTCCACGTCAGTGTGGCGATTTGGGCCT